AAGTCTGGAGACCCCTGGCCTAGCAATATAGGTGAGTTGGTACAATGGAAGGGCTGCATTGATCAGTTGTTTTCATTATGAGAGGGTTGGTGGATGGGACCTCTTCCAGGTGATAAATAAATTTTCAGGTGATAAATTGTTTTTTCATAGAAATATAGTATTCCTGTCAGTGTTTTGGTATGAGAACCAACTGGAAGGTCCTCCATGAACTCCAACAGGCAAAAATAAGACACCTAACATTTGGAAGCCCTATGGCCAACTTAACAAAATCCACACACCTATGACCAGAACATTTGTATCCGGGGGTACAACCACAAAGCATGATAGAAGCCTGCCTCCTGACCACAGAGGTGAAAACATAGAGGTTTTCTACTGTTAAGGTTATACAAGTGTTGAGGCATAGGTAAAAGTTTATATTTGTATGATAATATATGGAGGTCATACACTGTAGATTTCCTCCATCTCTCCATCTTCCTCAGATAATTGAGGGATCATCCCATGCCATTTGTATCTGACTAGGGAGGAGGTTGTAAATTTAGCGCCAAGAAGCTCCAAGTAATATCAAGAGATCCAGTTGGTCTCATCAGAGGATAATAGCAGTCTTTCTGAGGGTGTCTGTTGGAGTGTAATCATAAGGGATTTGAGTGTTAACATTGTGTCACACCTGAAGATTAATAAGAAAAAAATTGGTGGGAGCCTCAAACCAAAAACATTTATTTTTACTTTTGTGTAGTATAGGGAAGGGTTGAACTCCTTGGCAGTTTTTTTTTTTTTTTTGTCTGTGTCCTCTTGGGGTTATTTCCCTTCACATCTCCTCCTAGTGACGTAAGAGGATGTAAGAGGAAATCTCTTCAAAGTGAGAAGAATCTCCCATAGGAAGATTTACCTTCAGCAGCTGTCGTGGTGACAAAAGGAAAAATTTGGGGTTTCCCATGACTAGTGCACCCAAGATAGGTTCATCCAGACCCCACTACACCACCATTACCCTTCCATACCAATCTCCTTTACTTACTATACTTACAGAAAACACAACACCAATTTTGGAGTAAAATGGCCAACACGGCCTTTTATTAACAAATCAAGTTTAAACACATCAACCATTCCTTATAACAGAAAACATAAAGAGTTGTCATTGGTCTTTGAAGGCACCCCCAAAACGATCCGAAATGCACCTGCGGACAACCATATTCCACTAGGCCTCCAGCCGCAACCAACCAGCTCGGAGACAACCATACCGTCCGCAGTGCAGCACCACCACCTTCCAGTTAAACCTCGGTTAACTGAGAATGTTCCCGGGCACACCATACCAACGATGGGTCCCACACCATTTTGTACCTCCAAGATAAGAACCGCCTCCAAAGACCAACCACCGCCCAGGAACCAAAATAACCCTCCCCCCCCAGGAGGAACACAACATTCACCAAACAGGGAGGGCGGGAAGGAAGCTCTCTCTCCCACGTCCAGCTCCCAACTGACGCCCCTCCCAAGAACACCCCACCCTAAAGTGCAGGAGACCCCACCTACACTCTCCTCTACCAACCAGATCCCCCAGCTATCCTTTACCAACCCTAATACAATCATTAACCCTCACATGTCTTCCTTCCCACTCTGAGCCTAGTCATGCCTGCCCTGCGCTAATTCTTTTCTTCTTTTATCGCTGCGGGCATTTCTTCACTTTCTGTCTCGGTGGTAAAGGTCACAGGGATATATAGAGAAGGTGAATTGAATAAGTAGGGACACAGGCAGCAATAAATATCTCTTCCAAGTACTTCCCCCTTCCCCCCTTTTTGCTTATCTTGGCAACTTTTTTCCTGTATTTAATTCATCGCTCCTGGTTGTCCCTAAACTGGCACCTGGAGTGATCTTTCCTTCAGACTCTGCAAGCTATAACTATTGGAACTTTTGGTTTCTGTTATCAGAGTACCTCTTCTTTTAGTCTTTCTAAACTTTCTTCCGTACTCCCCATCAGTCACAGTGTTATTTACTTTCTCTGATCTTTCCACCTAGGTCATTCTTCCTATAAATATTGCCGCACTCCTATTTTTCCTCCCACACTTTGTACACTATTATTATTTCCCTTCCATTATGTCATCTTTATATGTGCTGATCTTTGCCCATGTTGGTTTTTGCATATGCACTTTGTACAGTTACCAAACTTTTCCTCTCCATACTGTCATGGAAATTTTGTATTGTTGGTCGAACTTTAAATGTGTCATATATTCGTGTTATTCATATGTCTCTCGTGTGGCTTAATTAAAGCTCTGAAGGCTGCAATTGGGCCATGCGCATGTACAATGTATGTATTACAGTACTCAGCTTGGTAATGGATGAGATGGCAGATCTGCGCTTATAGACCGGCGTGTATACCACCACGGCATTCGATGCGAATGTTGCTGGCAGTAGACCGTGGGCCTGTATCCACATATCAGCAGCATAGTACCACATGGGCTTCATAACGCAAGGCGACAAGCGGTGTGAACTCCACGTGTAGGCTTATGCATATCTTACAACCCATTACCAACTTGAAACTGTATCTTGGATGGATGTGTTTTAATAAAAGATCGTATCGGGCCCATCCAGGTACAGACTGATATTTCTAGGGAATGCTTGTGCAGAGAATGGACATACTGCTAGGAGCTGGGAGATATGCTCTCCATAGAGAGCTCATGGGAAGGGGAGGAATTCTGCTGACCTCAGAAGGCTCATGGGGGAAGACCAGTGATAGATAATAGGAAAGGCTATGCTCCAATTGGAATGTACATCCTGTGTATAGGCACTCCCCATTGCATTGTTCGGTGGGAGGGGATTGACTTTATTCATGTGGGGGGCATGTGTGTATTTTTAATAAAACCAGGGGCTGAGTCTGAAACCAGCCCTTATGTGAATTCAACCATCATCCTGAGAGTGTCGTTTGATCATTCTAGGGTAACAGAGCTCTAATTCCCCACATCTCAACAGAAGCTAAAAGTAGCTGGATGGGCAGGAATCGTGTAGTTTAGCTGCAGTCGTGGTAAGCGAGATTCGCACAGCTTTAAGGGGGATTTCTGCGCATCCAACTGCGAGTACTCACGGTAAGGAGAAATTCGTTAAAGCGAATTTCCAAGACAATACATAACGTATTTTTCATATCGTACTTGCTCACCATGTTATACCAACCCTTCTTTCATGTTATGTATATTTTTTTTTTATTTGCTTTTATACATTTAATAATACATAATATTGCATCTCCTAGATTGTAAGCTCTAACGAGCAGGGCCCCCTGTTTCCTCTTGTACCAAATTGTGTTGTAACTGTAATGTCTACCTTCATTTTGTAAAGCGCTGCGCAAACTGTTGGCGCTATAGAAATCCTGTATTATAATAATAATAATTAGATTAACATAAACATATACAGCTACTATATACTTAAGCTACAGTAAAAAAAAAAAAAAAAAAAAACATTAGGTCTTATATACTTTTTTTACTGAGTATTTTGAATACACAGTTACCATCAGTTCTAATACATACTATATGTGTAGCGCCCTCTAGGAGTGCTAGAGAGGTAAATTTAGTGTGGCTCACAGTAGTGAAGTGAGCATCTCTGTTTGGGTTATTACAGGTCAGGCTGGAGGGCTCTACAAGCTAGGTCTCAGGTACCTCCCTCTGGTTTTGGAGTCTTCCAAAAGATTCTAGAAGCTAGTGGGTAGAGGGGTGGAGACCAAGATCTGCATATTCATGGAAATCTGACCAATCCCAGGCAGGAGGCCTGGCAGTGTGGTAGATGGGCCCATAACTATGAGAGAACCTGGCCAACAGGGGAGTCTGGTGATTGGGTGGAAGATAGAGTGTTGAGGATTGTGAGGCCTGCCAGGGGAGCTAAAGAAGAAGGAAGGAAGCAGAAAACATTAGACAGAGGGAACTGCACTACAAGTCCTATCCAGAGAGAACCCTGCTCAGCATGGAAGACTAGCACAGCTAAAAGACCTGAACAAGCAGAGTTATGCAAAGCCACATGATACAAGGGCAGGGTGAGTACCTCTACACCCCCAGGGCCTATAAGGGAGAAGGCTGCCAGATGCAATATCAAGCATGCTTTCACAGGGATGGTGTCACAGCTAAACCTAATCCCTTGCACTGGGAACACTTATCCAAAGCAGCCAAGTGGGCTGGCATTTTCTCACCATGTATTGGGACTTCATGAGAGCTCACACAAGGGGATCTAGTGCTCCTTAAAGTAGCTTTGCTACTGATCCATAAAGGGGCGGATACCACTCTGGCTGGAGTAACATTCAGGATCTATTTTTTTGTACATGAATGCAGGAAGCTTGTCCTCATCTATTCTTTCTAGTCACGTTGGGTGTCCCATAACCCCTAATCCCTCTCAAAGTTGTTTTCCCCTAGGTAAAACAACAAAAACAAGCCCATGAACTGCATTTTTGACTATGTATGTTTGCCAAAAATGTGTGTTGCCTGGCTGTGCAGTTAAGAGGGGGATCCAAAAATCCAGCGGCTTCTTAGGGGGTAGTGCTACTTATGTATGCTAATGATTAACCTCCCTGACGGTATGATTATTTCAGATTTTTGGTGCTGAAAGCGGTGCCATTATTTTGCATGGAAATATGTAGTTTTTTTATTGTAGGCTGTAATATTTAGGAATAACTCACTGAAATCTGTCCGAACAAGAGTCTATTAAACATCCCGGGTATGATAAAATTTGAAACACGAAATCATAAATTATAATTTAATAAATAATCATAAAAAAAATAATAATAATACATTTAATTCAATAATATAATCAAACCAAAAACTCTGAAATTTGAAATATAGCACCAAGTTCGCACATCACTGAGCAAATTCGCAAAATCGTTTTCAGTGTCTGATGACGAATTTCTCCACGAATCATTATCACTCAATTCTGCAAGTGGTTCTGATTTACTATCGCTGTTCTCTAGCTGGTCTAAAACCGCTTTTGACCTAAAGGGATGCTTTTTTGGATGCCATGGACTTTTCTAAGTTTCCAGGCAGAAAGAACAGTCAAAATGCAGACAGGGGACAGGACAAAGCACTAGGGACAAAATGTATGTGAAATGGTTTGAAACAGCAATGTTTTACTATGTAAAATTCGTTTTGAAAAAAAATGAAATTTTTTTTAAATTTTCAAATTTCCCGCCGGCGGCGGCGGCGGCGCCCGTACGTCCCGACGTCACAGGGACCGAAACACAGAAGCCGGATGCCGGCATCAGCCGGAGGAGATGGCCGGGGACGCTGCAGGGGACACATCTCAGGAGCGAAGGACAAGGTAAGCTCTGCAGGGACTCCCTATGCAGCGCCGCATGGTAAGCCCGAGTGTAGCTCGGGGTTACCGCTTTTGGTACAGAAACTTTACCCCAAGCTACACTCGGGAATACCGCCAGGGAGGTTAAAGAATATCTACTTTGAATTGTATGTAATTTTTTCAGCACTGATAAAGTTATAGTATAATCACGTTCTTCTTTGCATTAAGTATTTTGTATTTAGTACATACTTACTCTTAGTTTTAATGCATACTTTACCATTAGCTCTAATACATACCATATTTTCACTGTTGAATGTAGAATACTTACAGTAATTTTATGTATTACCTGAAGCTCTGATTAGGGAGGATCCTTAGAGTTCTTAATATGTGTTGGCTTTTTACATTTATAGACTGTGAATAAAATTATTTACCTTGATATCTTTTGTAACTGGATATCTGTTTTTCGTTTTTTCCCATACATAAAGAATTGACAAAAAAAAATAATTTTATATGGACTGAACACAACTTGTGTCACTTTCCACCTTGCATACCTAGAAACAGATACCTGGCAGAGGTTCTATTCCTTCTTCACTTCAGAATGATCCAAAATCTTCCTTTTATTGTGACTGACAATGAACAAATGGACACCAAATTTGGATATTTCTCAGGCAAGACGAACAGACCTGTTTTCAACTGCATCAATGGTTTAACCATGGTTTTATACTGGCAAGTCAAACTGGCAATACACCAGCAGAATTTTGTTAGAAATTTTTCATTTTAAGAACGTTTATTCTATTTTATAATCTTTATTGGGTCAATCCAATGTTTGTTTTCAACCACAGTGATGAAAATGGTCGAAGGAACAGGATGGAAATATTTTCTCGGATTTCTAACACTGCATGTAGTTTTTTTTAGTAAAGTCCATTTGTTGCAAAATCAGATATTCAAAGCAATGGAAATTTTGAAATACTTTTAAATGACATTGGCCAAGTCATCAAATGTACTAAAAACATTTTTGCACCACAGTTCGTACTAACATTCGTTCTGAAGTATACTAGTATATGGCCAGCCGTATTTGCATAAATATGTCAGCAGGCTGGAAAATAATTATACAAACTTTTCAGGAGGACTAAATTTGCAAAGAAAATGATATGAGCTGGGATTTGAAGCTGTGGCTGACATAGATGAAGGTAAATGGACATCAGGTTAGGAATACCTTTTTCTATGTACCACTATAATACCAGGAATAGCAGTTCCCACATCGCTCTATGATCTCTCTTCCAGGAGAAATTCATAATTGAAGCCACTGCACAGGCAGTACAAATATTACAGGCAGTATACTCATGAATCTGTAAAAGAGCTTCCTGTACTTCCTGTACTCTCCATACTATGTATAGAAATATCACATATGCATAATAATTTCCATAACCATAACAGATACAGTACATGACTTCAGCTGCCTTGTCTATCCCTAAATTACCACACAGTCTTTTTCTATCTTCGATGTCAAACTGAACACACGTAAAATATAATTAGCTGCAAAAACACAATATATTTCATATTGGAAGATACTACCAGATAGACCAGCAAGGGGCAAAACTACGGCCCGGCGGACCTTTTAATCCGGCCCGCGGGAGCTAGGCTCCCGCTAGGCTCCCGCTAGGCTCCTCTCACAGTCCGCCCTGAAGACCGGTGTAGCATGAAAATCTGTCTCCTATGAGGATCTGTCCCCCCTCGACGTATCTGCGCATGTGCCGGAGATCGCCGATCGGCTGCTAATGCCTGAAACTGGCACATGCGCAGATACGTCGAGGGGGACAGATCCTCATAGGAGACAGATTTTCATGCTACACCGGAACGGCGCGGGAACACGGCGAGAGGAACGCGCGGAGCAAAGGTAAGTGAATTGACACAGGGGGGACTTGGGGACTTAATTGGGGGATGAATTACTATGGGGGATGAATTACTATATGGGGATGAATTACTATATGGGGGATGAATTACTATGGGGGATGAATTACTATATGGGGGATGAATTACTATATGGGGGATGAATTACTATGGGGGATGAATTACTATGGGGGATGAATTACTAAATGGGGGATGAATTACTATATGGGGGATGAATTACTATGGGGGATGAATTACTATATGGGGGATGAATTACTATATGGGGGATTAATTACTATGCTTACTATGGGGGAATATTACTATACTTACTATGGATGACACATACACATCATTCAACTACTCTTGGTCCGGCCCCCGGGTCCAATATATGAACCCATTGCGGCCCTCAAGTCAAAAAGTTTGCCCACCCCTGAGATAGACCATCATGATTCCCATCACCAGACTGTTCTTTATATTAGGAGCCCTTCCAGGTCAGGCTGTTTACTCAATACCTTTTCACCCAATAGTACATTTACCTCAATGAGTTGATGAAAGTGGCTGACTGTAATGGTGAGCATAGGGGTTGAAGGAAACTTTACCTTATATACAGTAGGTGTTTGTTTATCTATTATTATTATTATACAGGATTTATATAGCACCAGCAGTTTGCGCAGCGCTTTACAAAATGAAGGCAGACTTTACAGTTACAATACAATTTGGCACAAGTGGAATCAGAGGGTCCTGTTCGTTAGATGTTACAGTCTATCTAATGATCTTTACCTTTTTATTAAAATATAGCTGATCAACACACAGATATTCACACCAGGCTACATTTACTTTTAGGGCTCCTTTACACTTGGGGGGGCACTAAAAACACACAGCTGAGTTGCATTTTTACCACTCCTCAACTGCTCCTTGTAATGGAACCGACCCAGACTGCGCTTGAGTACTTCCATTAGAATACCGCTTTCCTGTCCGAACACCGACAACAGACACCACAGCCGACCATACAAGACTAGACGACACCAGTCTTGAAGTAAACCAGGAGGTAGACTACTTTATTTGAACACAGATACAAGATATATACACTCAGGGGACAATCCCCCCTCCCTGCATATTGATACAGGGCGGGGAAATCTACATTTAGTAACAAGAGACACACAGGTATTCAAACTTCACACCAGCAGATAGTGCCATCAGGAGGGAGACAACCCCCCCCCCCTCCACTAAGTTAATACACATAAACACATAAATCCCATAATAGTTTGCTCCCAAGCCAGAAAAAACAATAGAACAATGGGATACAGCCACATAACATTACACAGTCAACAACCCCCACCCCACCTATCTCCTAAACATGTCTACGCAGTCTGAGACAAAGCCCACACAATATCAGGACAGATCACCCTGTACCCCTAACAGGCACAGGGTGATTTACACATAAGATGGATATGGGGAGCTGAGACAGGGGTCTCCCCACCTCTCCATAGTGAGCTGGGTTCCATGGGCCCCCCACCCAAAGTGACTCCCGTCACACTCCCCCTTAGGCAGTGACCAGGGGTGTTCACATGCTTCAAGTGTGATGTTTTGCTTATATACTACCACCCATGACGCAACCTATTCAACCACCCCACAACAACCGCAGTTATCGCACGGTAGTGTGGCATTTAGGAGGTTGAAACAGTCCAGAGGTGACATATCACCTCCTGACTGCCTATCAAACACCTCTGAAATGTGAAACAAGTGTGGATAGCTTTTCAGAGCAGCTGCAGTCCTTGCTGCAAGTGTCAAAGAGCCCAAAGAGAGACCATTTTTTAGGGAATATGCTAAATATGCCAGATGGGCAGTTTGGTAATGTTATGTTAAGCAGGGCACATACAACTGTTTTCTCTTATTTTCGTGAAGTTTGTTTATTTCACAAGTTTTGACTAGAAAAAGTAAATAATTTTCAGTTATTGATGTACTTTTGTCTTCTATAATATTGTAAAGTTCATCACCTTCTGTTTTGTACTCTTGTGTATCAGGATTGCCAACCCAGAGAATCCAAGTATTCCAGAATCCGATAATAGTGGCCTCTAAGGGCACCTCAGTCACCTTGCCATGCACTTACAACATCAGCACCAGGGGGAATCTTACAATCGGCAACTACAAGTGATATAGACATGAAGTAAGAGCTTGGCCTCTGATCTCTGATAAAAATGAGGACTTCCATGGAAGGGTTCCCATAGCAAATGGAGATCATTTCATCCACAATGGGTCAGCTCCTCTTGAGCTGCATCATTTGGTACAGTTGGACAGTGCATTGAGGTCGGCTTGTAAGTTGGAGACATCCTGTAAGGACATTATTCCACTGCACAGCTTGGTGTCATCTGCAAAGACTGAAATGGTATTTTTAATGCTAGACCCTATCTCGCTTATAAATATATTAAAAAGTAAGGGTCCCAACACTGAACCTTGGGGTACACCACTAACAACCATAGACCATTCAGAGTATGAATCATTAACCACTACTCTCTGGATACCATCTTGTAGCCAGTTTTCTATCCACAGATTTTTCCAAGCCTGTAGACTTTACCTTACACATTAGCTGTGTGTGGGGAACTGTGTCAAATGCTTTTGCAAAATCCAAGTATACCACGTCCACCGCTACCCCTCTGTCCAAGCATACCATGTCCACCGCCACCCCTTTGTCTAAGGTTTTGCTCACCTACTCATAAAAAGAAATCAGATTTGTTTGGCAACTTCTGTTTTTCATTAATCCATGCTGTCTATTGCCTAAAATATTTGTCCTGACAGCTCCATACCAGCACAGCTGGGTAAGGGCCGCACAGATGGGTAAGGGCCCCATCCCCCCCCCATGCTTCCAGGACCTAACTCATAAATTTGAGCCTACCTGAAGCCTCAGTGTTCCTCTTTTTTCCTCCCATTTGCAGGACCTATGTATGCTCCTCTACCTGGCCGGGCTAAAGGGCTGGCTGTCCATCCATGTGTGTGGGGTTCAGCTGGATGCGGTCCCTGGTGTACTGGCTTAATGACCCATAATCCAGGGAGCCCCACTGCTGGTCCTCTGGGCGGCTTTTATCATGGCTAACAGCTTTGTTTGGGGTCCGCTGGGTCCATGTGAGATGGGCAGCAGTGTAAGCAGTGTCTCCTCTAGGCAAGCACACCCATGCAGTGCCAGTGTTTACAGTTGGATGGTGGAGGTTAAGTGAG